GTATCATTAATCTAAACACTGCTAAAATTAAATTTATGAAGTAATAATTTGGACGAAACGATGGGGATTTGCTGGCGATCAATGAGGAGAAATGAAGAATATGAAATTTTTTCTTTTCCTATCTTGCTTTTATTTACCTTTTTGTTTATTAAATATGAATTAAGTTAAATATACATCATTGATTAATATCATAATGACACTCCTTAGGTGGAAGGAATCTGAAGACTCTGAACAATGATGGGATGGATGTGTAGATTGATATCACGTGGAAGAGTATCAAACTTGAAAGAATCATTGAAGTAGAAAGATTCGATTGGAACTCTGTTGAATGAAGAAGTTCATGCTGATAACATTGCTTTACCGGAAATACCAGAAATACCCTTTAATCGTGTTTTACCTTATTACGTTTTTGTTATTTCTGTTAGCACGTTTACTTCATTGTTGTGTTGTCACTTTCTCATTGGTTTACATCTTTAGCTTGCTCTATATATATTGCAAGTGTACTCCATTTCTTCCCATGATCGGATGATTAAATAATTTTAGTTACTCCAATTACTCTGTTAGCTGCTTTTATCATGGTATCAGAGCAGAGTTGAAATCATTTTTTTAAAAAAAAATGTATTAAAACGCTGAAGAAAGGATGGAACAAAATGGTTCCGGATCAGAAACTGAAGAAGAAATGGCGGAGAAGGAGTATTCGAATAGAGACCCATTAGATCTTCAAAACTCAGACCATCCAGGTATGGTTTTAGTTACTTCGGTACTTACAGGAAGAAATTACCTTAGTTGGAGCAGATCAATCATCATAGCATTAGGAGCTAAGATGAAACTGGGCTTCATTGATGGAAGATGTGATAAACCTACAGAAAATCAATCTAAAATTGAGCAATGGATCCGGGTAGATTGTATGATAAGATCGTGGTTATTGAATTCAATTGCAAAAGATATTGTTGAAGCATTCATATATACTAAATCAACAAAGGATTTATGGTTAGAATTGAAGGAAAGATATGGTGATTGTAATGGACCAATGTTGTATCAGATACAAAGAGAGATCAGCAGTATTTCACAAGGAGTTTTAACTGTTGAAAAATATTACACTAAATTGAAAAAACTCTGGGATGAATTAATGTGTTTAATGCCGATTCCCACCTGCACTTGTACAGCATCTAAAGAGATCTCAGATCTAACTGCTTCTAATCAGTTGATGCAATTTCTGATGGGTTTAAATGATACGTTTGATAATATAGGAATCAGGTGCTAGTGATGGATCCACTTCCCTCGGTTAATAAGGCATATACGATGGTGTTGAGAGTCGAAAAACAGAGAGAGGTTCACAATATTTTTCCTGATTCCAATGAAAATTCAGCTATGCTAATTAGATCCATGGATTACAGGAGAGAAAATGGAAATAGAGTGGGTTTTAACAGAAATCCTATGAGATATGGCTCAGGGAGAGGAAACAATAAAAAATTTGGAAACCACTGTGATCATTGCAACATGAAAGCGCACACTAGGGATAGCTGTTTCAAGCTGATAGGGTATCCAGACTGGTATAAAACAGTAAAGGAGCTGAGGCCTAGAAACTATGGAGATGGATGATTTTCAGCTAATATGATTGACAC